GCTGTGCAGAGGTAGTAAAGGCTAAGCTAACGCTCCGAGGCTGTGCAGAGGTAGTAAAGGCTAAGCTAACGCTCCGAGGCTGTGCAGAGGTAGTAAAGGCTAAGCTAACGCTCCGAGGCTGTGCAGAGGTAGTAAACCAATCAGTCAATAACAGTTGACTTTATAAAAAGAGAAGCTACAAATCAGCAGCTGACTCCTCAACACAGATTAAAATTAAACTCCACTTATTTCCTCCAAAGTTCTGGGAGCTTCTTACATCTTTCAAGCTAATGAAGTAAAATGCTCCCAGTAATAAAGCTTTTCATTTTCCCTGTTAAAGCCCCTGTTCCACCTGGCTAATTTATTTTGCATCTGCCTGACGTCCCAGATTCTCCTAAAAACGCTGGCATACACTCAACTTTTTATGGATTGTTCCTATTTTGGGCGTATACATAGAGTATTCATAACGAGTCCAGAAACATGTTCAGCGCACGTCTGGAACAAGTCAGATACATTGATATGCGTTGGAGAAAAGTTCTGGATAAGCTACGCAGAAGTTTAGGATAAGCTAGACGCCACGACTTATGAGGAACTGACACTGAACGGATGACAACCATCAGATCACCTGATGACCTGATGACCTGGAACTGATGGACCATGGATGAGAATACGCTGGAATATGGCGGGAAATTTAGAGAAAATTTCTTGCCGTATGTTGACGTGTGACAGTTTGCTGCAGCGTATTTCACAGTGCTTAAAACGTACCGATAAAGCTGGGCTAACACTATGATTTTCTGCCTTTTTTCAATCAGCATGATGGTGTAGTATACAGGGGGTACAGTATACATCAGGAATATTAAGGTTTGAGAAAATCAAACATGTTTGAAATTCAGACCGTGAATGAAATTTTAAACTCTGCGGTTTCGTCGTACAGTTTCAGTGTATGCCCGGCTTAATTATCCAACGTATGCCAGCGTTCTAGCCAGATTATTTGTAAATCAGGCGTACGCTGGTATAAATCATCAAGGTGTGACAGGGACATTAGAAAAACTAGAGCAGCAGTAAATGGCATTTATCCTAATTGACGGCTACTCAGCTTCTGGCCCTCCATCTGCGGTGACATCACTGAGAGAACGCAGCAGCACTGTAAACACACGCCAATCGAATGACTGACTGAGACCAAGCTTCTGTTGGACCAAACAGGAAGTCACACTGAGGTTATAGGTCACTCTAAAGGAGGGCAGAAATAAAAACAAAACTAATTTATGATTGAACCAACACTAACTTCTTATTTTAATCATGGTTGTATAACATTTTTTCACCATTAATTAATCGCCTCATCACCATTTATCTTTTAAACAGCCCCTGGAAACAGGAGTCCAAAACGACGACAGGCGACCAGATCAGGGAGTTACCCTCTACGCTCTGCTCCCTGTGGGAAAGGCTGCCTTCCTTCAGGTGAAACAATACAGCGTTTGTCCACTGGGGGAGCCAAATTCAAACTGCAATAAGTAATTTAGCAAATGATGAAAACATTTAAATAAATCTCTTTTTTTTTTTAAATATTCCAGTGTTATTTGAACTTCATAGTTCCTCTCCATTTATTTCATCCATATTTATTTGAGGTTTTTTAAATATAAAAGATAAACTTTGAAGAGATNGTGTTATTTGAACTTCATAGTTCCTCTCCATTTATTTCATCCATATTTATTTGAGGTTTTTTAAATATAAAAGATAAACTTTGAAGAGATTTATTTCTATTTCTCTCAGTTTCAATCCTCCAGGGCTCTAATTTAGGAAATAAAGTTCAGTTTTTCAAACAGTAAACACCGTTTTGGCCGGGAAGCAGAGATATTCCTGCCTTGAAAGGAAAATGGCTGCAGGATGAAAAATGGCGGAGAGGAAGGAATCAGTATGGTGTTGGATTATCAGCACCGTTGATCCCTGATCTCCTCCTCTGCTCTCCATCCAGTTCGTTCGCCGCCGTTTGAAGCTGCCCAGCTGAGCGAACACAAACCTTCAGACCAGAACCTGCTCTTCTAACAGGAACCACCGTCCCCAGAAACACCAACGAAGGTTTCCTTAAATGTATGAAAGAATCTGGAATGGAGGCAGCAGGACTGCCGGTCAGGAAGGGACCTACCAGGAAGGACGCACTTCCACAGGCCGTAGGTCTTCCCCACCGCCGTCTGCCACAGGCGTAGCGTCCCGTCCTCTGAGCCGCTGGCGTACAGCTCCCCGTCAGGGCTGAAGCGCACACAGTGGACCGGACCGAAATGGCCTTTATAGGACTCTGGAGACAGAAGGAGATGAAGAACATTTAGGATCAGTCAAAACATAGTCAGCTTCTAGCTCCAAGGACCCAGGAAGGATCTGATC